AAAACATATATCTCTTACTAAACAATAGAAACAGGGCCATGTTAAAAACTAGGGTCGGCGACAGGTAACCTTCGTAGCTTTGCCATAAATACAAATGCATCACACTTTTCCTGTGACGCTCTTCCAATTGTTTAATCGGGATTCTACATCCTACTCGGTTATATTGCAGACTAGATGTGACATTACTTCCAGTTACTTAATCAAGAAATGTTTTACCTTTGGCCCAGTATGTGTTCTTTAATAAGAATATGTAAAATTTTTACATTTTGGATGATAAGTATAGCAATTATTTTCCTTTTTCATAAAATTTATATGCGGCAGTGCTCCTGTTACTTAATTAAATAAGATTTTATAACTTTATTTTTACAAAAACAAAAAACAGTAACATTTGCTTCTATGACACTGTTTTATCAACTTAATCTTTCTCTTAAAGCACATTTTTTACCTATTGAGCTGTTTTAGTTTTTCAGTACTGTTGTACGTTTTTTCCCCATCACAATATTTCTGTGGTAGCGATCCAGTTGTTTAATGTTGTACGTTTTTTTTTCCCATCACAATATTTCTGTGGTAGTGATCCAGTTGTTTAATGTTGTACGTTTTTTCCCCATCACAATATTTCTATGGTAGCGATCCAATTGTTTAATGTACGTTTTTTCCCCATCACAATATTTCTGTGGTAGTGATCCAGTTGTTTAATGTTTTACGTTTTTTTTCCATCACAATCTTTCTGTGGTAGCGATCCAGTTATTTAATGTTGTACGTTTTTTCCCCATCACAATATTTCTGTGGTAGCGATCCAATTGTTTAATGTTGTACGTTTTTTCCCCATCACAATATTTCTGTGGTAGCGATCCAGTTGTTTAATGTTGTACGTTGTTTTTCCCCATCACAATTTTATGTTGTAGCAATTCAGTTGTTTAATCGGGATCATTTACTCCTTTTTTGACAAAGCATTCTTTATGTGGCTCTTTTCTTGTTATCTAATAAGGGTTGCTCCTTCTTCTTCTTTGCTTTTAATTATATCTGCAGAACTGTCCTTTGCTTTTAAACAGTATTCACTTTTACTCTATTTTTATGTATTTGACTCTATTGTTTCACGATGATTGTACAGCTTTCCTTTTTGTATCTGATATATTTATTATTTGCGACATGTTTGCTATTCTTAAAATGAAACTTAGATCTTTCTTTATGTCGAAATTTTATTTTTATAGTCCTGTTCTTTTTCGTTAATAACGATGTACATGTATTTCTTTACAACAAGTTAAACAAAATGTTGACTGATTATAAAGGCACGATATAATCTGTTTTCAGAAATCACCACTCATTAATTGTTTTATTCTACCTCTCCTTCTTCTGTTTTCTGTTTTACTACACTCTAATTAATTAGCGCTGTCACTTGAAATATTCAGTCTAAAACCCCGAGCTTACATGATAATTTTAAAGTTTTACATTTCATTGAATATTTTAATATAATTTTAAAAATTAGTAATAAATCAGTAAGATTTATCTGTATTATTATTATTGTAATTAAACAATATTTCAGTATCTCAGTATATGTAATTTAAACCCTTAGGCCTATTCGTTTATATATCTATATATGTCATTACTGGTAATATGGTTATGAAAGTCATAGGCCCATTTTGTAGACGATTATAATATTTATATGACATATAATTAATTTAATCGTGGATTAGGCCACACTAATTCAATGAATTTATCACTAAATATGAGATAGCAAAAAGATTGTATCTTCATATGTTTACAACTTACAGTAAACGTATAAAGTATGCACCAGTCTAACTTCAGCAGGAAATTTGCCTAGGCAAGATTTTTGATATTGTTATCCACAGTTATTCTCCGTGCAGTGCAATATTCCTCGAATACTTTTAGAGCGCCTATGATTATGTTTTTAGTACTCTTAGTGCCCTTTTCTGCAACGAGACTTTGCAACTCTTCATCTGTGAATAACTGATATCTTACGTGATATGTCCATATTTTACGGGTTTTGAGCTAATTATTTGTAAGTATGACCAAATGAACCAGAGTGTTTTCACTGTGCTGCAAAATATTGTATTATGTTGCAATGTCAAACACTCAAGGCAACAGCTTTAACAACTGAACAACATTGATGCGATTTTTTTGAACTGATTTTCAAAGCAAGATTTAAGATGTTTGATACCAGATGATGCGTTTTCGACAATCACGAGAAACATTTAATGCTAGAGGGTATAATAATGAAAATATATTTAATGCTAATACTCTTATTATAACTATGAAAAGAGCTCAATCTGTAAAGATTTATTTATATCAATGTGTGTCTGATGATGATATTTCTAAAGTCACACAACCTAACCGATTTATTGAACAATATATTTATAATACTGATACCTTTAGGAAACAAAACATGGTACATTTAGCTCTGTTTTCTAACAGTGACTTGTTAGGTACTGCAAAACGTGTTATATTTAATTGTGTGATTCGAATACTGAAATATTTAGAAACGCGCTAATTTAACTCTATGTTTATATTGCTAATAAATATGGTGTCATAAAAACTACTAGTTTTAATTCTATATTTTTATATTCATATTGGTTAATGATGTACATGTGCAAAGAGCGTGGGTGTTAGTATTCTACATTAAAATAATACTGCTGTGCAGATGAGCACAAATACAGATAGCGATGGTATTAATATTTCACACTGATTATAATACTACTGTGCAGAAGAGAGGGTATTAATCTTCTATATTTACTTAGGTAACTGTGGGTTGACAGGTAGGAGTCGATGGATGTGTCACTCTCAAATTACAGAATGTTATCATTCGTATTAGCAAAAACAATATGTAATTACGTCATATATTATGAAAATTCGTGCTTGCTAGAAACTGCCTTAACAATGACGTATCATTTGTTCATAAGAACCAATTAATTATATTGTTAGCGGATTTCGGGAAAGCAGCTCGTGAACTAATTTCTGATGTTTAAGCCATTTAATGTTAATAATTATATCTTTACTAAAAATAAATCATAAAAAAAGATATTTCTTTCAATTTTCTGTATAAAATTTCGATTTAGTTTCTGAGTTACATTTAGTTTTATGGAACCTAGGAAACAAAAAAGTATTTCACTACTGGTAAATTAAGGATATTCACTCTGTAAGTATAGCTAGGGACTAAGACGTTTAATGATACAAAATATTCCTACTTCGTGTTATTTTACGTTTTAGCAATTGAACAATGAAATATCTTTTTTGTTTTTATTTTTTAATAACTTATACAATATATTAATACTTAATTAATAAAAGTAATTTGATTTTTCGTATTTCATAATGTTAATGATTAATAATAATTACTATTTCAGATACTTAAGTCTTATTTATTTTCTTCTTCTGTAGAATTACATATAATAATAATTAAGTGATAGAGGTAATTCATATAGGTACGTCTTGTTTTCTTCTTTTTTCATAAAATTACGTAAATAATTTTTCCTTTTCTCGAAAAGTAAATATATCTTGATAATCTAGCTTTTTGATCACTTTTGTAGTCTATACAAGTTATTGTTAACTCATTCTAAGAACTTGTCCAAGAGAGTTTTTGTTGTAAAGTTTGTATATTCTGGTTTGTGAACCAATATGCGTTAGGTTGTCCGTGAAACTTTTCTCTTTGATAATTAAGGTATTGTGAACCATTAATAATTAAGGTATTGTGAACCAGTACGCACTAAGTTAATTACAGATTCAATTGTCAAACTGTTTAATAATCCAGATGTTTTAATCTATTAAGTTTCCAAGCTATCTATATAACTTAATTGTTAATATATTCGATAATTTAGGTGCTATTAACCATTAAGCACTAGGCTTTCAATCAAATTATACTGTTAATCTGTTCGATAATTCAAAGCTAAAGAACCAGTATGCAATAAGTCATCAAGCAAAATTAATTGAAAATCTGTTAGATATTCCAAGTAATGTGAACATTTAAGTACTTAGTTGTTTGTCGAACTTAAATGTCAATATTCTCGGTACTCCAAGTGCAGTATATTTTGAAACATTGACGTGCTTCTGTTATAAAATAATTACAGGCTTTGTTCGTATGCATTATTTCTTAAAACTGCTTTGGCGGGTAATATTTATTAATCACTAGTTCACAGCGAGTGAATATTGATTGAGGCAGTGCTATGATCATCAGTCATAGATCCCTGAATAACGAATAAGTTATTATACATGGCAACTCTTCCTACCTTCTTTTAAAAAGGAAAAACAGAAATTCAAAATATTTTACATTATAATTATGAAAATATTTTAACATATTTCCTTTTGAAATGAATTTACAGAATTAATGAAAGCCTGATTTAAACCTTCTTGGAGTCTGTAAGACGTTACGTTTCTCATTTCTTATTTTTTTCAATTGCTACATTTCTTGGCACGTTTTCACCTTTTTATAACTTTTAAAATTATATCTACCATTAGCCCCATCGGTGACACAGCGGTATGTCTGCGGACTTATACCGCTAAAAACCAGGTTTCGATACCCGTGGTAGGCGGAGCACAGATCGCGCTTTGTGCTTAATAACAAACAACAGCATCTACCAGTAAAAAGACATACTTGAATTAAAACGTACTCATTTAATTCTAGACACAAACAACTCACATTAATAAATTTAAAAAAATAAGTGAATAAAAAGAGGTCCAAGTTAAGAGTTTTTGAGCGTGTGTTTTAAAAAAGATCTACAGAATAAATAAATCATTTTTGTCAAGATTTTCGTCTAGTTAGTTGCTCTTCCGGACATTAAAATATCTGCTCATAAACAGAATAAAATACAGTCTAATTGTAATTCTATAAATATTTGTTTTACACAAATTCTTCTTTGTAAGATACAAATTATTTAATACAATGTCAACTAATGATTTAATGCTTACTTATCTCAGGTTGTTAGGATTTACCCTCTTAAAAATGTCCAAGAATCGTATTTAGGACTTACGATTTTTTGTTGTTTTTACAGTCGGAAGACTGAATCTAACTTTCAATACGCCAACGGAAGACGATGTTGTGATGCTTGTTTCTCAGCTACGACTAGGAGGCGCTTGGTCTCCACCTACTTGCAAGTCCAGCCACCGTGTGGCTGTTATTATTCCCTTTCGAGACAGGAAAGAACATTTGTTGATTTTACTTAGCTATTTACATCCTCTTTTGCAGAGACAATTATTGGATTACAGAATTTTTGTTGTTGAACAGGTAAGCAATTGACTCAATTGTCTATTTTGTGTCATTTAGAAAGGAGCTTGGTGGTTAGGGTACTTGACTTACAATCTGAGAGTCGTAACTTCGAATGATTGCCCTTTAAGCCGTAGGAACGTTATAATGTAATGGTCAATCCCACTATTAATTAGTAAATAGCAGTCCAAGAGTTGGCGGTGGGCGATGTTGATTAGCTTCTCCCACTTTAGTCTATCACTTCAAAATTAAGGACAGCTAATGCAACTATCTTTCGAGTAGCTTTATGCGAAATTCAAGAAACCAACAAATCAACTTTCATAAAGAGTAGATTATAACTTAACAGCTCGTTATTAAATTGGAAATAAGATTTTTTAGCGCTAAAGTCGTAATTTAACACCTGCTAATAATTTATGACTAAAAAGTTTCAGATTTAGAAACATTCACTGAATAATTACTAACATTTAGATAATTTGAGAGAAACCCAGTCCTCATGCGTTCACGGTTACTTTAAGTCTGGCTATTAGAAGGTTGTTAAATGATACATCAGAAATCTTTCTAAACTCTTTGCTAGTTTAGCAAAAAATCTTCAGAAATCATTGATACTAAGATAACATACAAAAATGGCGTTTTGTTGAGTATAATTTATCATTTCATCAATAGGCAGTACTTGTATTTGAAGTTATATTCTTGACAATAGCACCGTGTCTATGTTTATAAGAGTGAATAAAATTTTATTTTTCTGCAGTTGCCCTATTAATTTTTTGTGTTACATTGTGTTACAAAGCTGTCGACTATTCATGTCCTCATGATTCAATGAAACAGAACACAAATAACTCAATAAATAAAAACTGTATTTTGGTCCAAAGCATGTCTTTGTGAAGTAGTTGGCTATTTAATGTATCTACATGTTTAGTGTCTAAAGATATATCATGGGAAGGTAGAGTATCAGGCAGAAAGTTTCAAAGATAAGCAAAATAGTTGTAAGACAGGCTGATTCATATATTGATTTTTATAATTAGACACTGAAATTGATACATAGTACTAAAATCATTAAACAGTGTCCAATAGATGGCGCTAACTATTTCCTGCTTACCTACATCTTGATATCTCATTTTCAAACATAATAGTATATGAAGGGAAGACTGATATGATAAACTGGAGAGGTGGCATATGAGCGCATTAAACAGCACACTACGTGATGGCATTAAGGGTGAATTTCTAAAAAAAGAAAAAAAGTAGAGGTACTCAGCTGAGTAAAGTATTTTTGAAAAAGAAACAAAAAATCTAAGTTTAAACGTAAAAATTGACAAAGCAGCTCAAATAATTCCCGATACTAGTACCGCCTTGAAAAATATGCGGATTGCGGGTTCGAATCCCTGTCACATCGAACATGCTCGGTCTTTCAGCCGTAGGGGCGTTATATTGTTACGATCAATCCCGCTACTCGTTGGTAAAAGAGCCTAAGAGTTGATGGTGGGTGGTGTTAACTACCTGCTTTCCCTCTAGTCTATATTCCTAAATGAGTGACGGCTAGCGCAGATAGCCTTCGTGTAGCTTTGCGCGAAATTCAAAACAAACCAAATCAAACCTACACGTTAGATCTCCTCAACAACGTATTTCCTTGTTAACAGTTCGTTACCGTAAGAAGGTATCTTATAGTTAACAATACATTATGCCACGATAAACTATATAATATTATTATCGAAACGTTACGTTATGGTAGACCATATTATAGCTCCGTTACCAATATGTTACTTCATGACAGATCATATTATTATATTGTTAATAGCATATTGGGCTTGGCATGGCCTGGTGGTTGGGGCGCTCGACT